TTGAACAATTTTATTGTTTTTGTTTAAAAGAAATCGAACTGAAGTAGTGTGACCATATTGACGATGTACTGAGACTTTCCGTGTGATCTTAACTAATTATATGTACATGTTTCTTATTATGTTACCGGAAATGCATGAAATTTAGGAATTATGTACAATTCCTATGTATTCTATATAATGACGGATTTCATAGATTTCATAATATTAAATTAAAAATGAGTAACACAATATATTCTTTTGGCAGACAATTTATTTTTACTTAGTTTTTGTTTCTCATTATTCTGATATTTTAATAACGCTTACAATAATTATGAATATTTTTTTTAGATTTCCTAAAACAGTACTCGGAGAAATTTGTTGTTATCCATTGTACCATTGAAAATGAAGTATTATGAAAGTGCAAGGATTTGCATTTTCAACAATCAGATTATGATTCAGCAACAAGGTGCTTAAAACCAACAGCAGTTCCTACTGTTATAAGAAATCAAGAAACAGTATCAGCAGGCAAGGTAAAAATTTAATATAATTTAATTATCTATTTTTCGTAATATATTATGTATTTAGAAATGTAGTAGTTTAAATGTATGATATAAAGCAACATTTTGTAAAATATGTTGTCATTTGCAGACAATAAGTGCATGACATGAAGAGTCTATTGTGCAAATAGCTGCTCTGGCTGTAGCTGTATCAAGCACTAGTTCTGTAATTAATGAAAGTAGTCCTGCACTTAAGGAAACAGGAATGAAATGTACTGGCTGTAATATTGGAGACCAAACTAGTAAAAAACAATGTCGAAAAATTCTTGAAAATTTATGCAACCTGAACAAGTTACCTGTAAGTTTCCTTTTCCTTTATTACTAAATACATACCTTTTATTTGTATTTATTATGACTTTAATATTACATTACATAATGTATTATATAGCTTAAAACACATACATATTTAAACTCTTTAGTGCCAGTCGCAGTGTGGTAACCGTCACTACGATACTAAGCATGAAGCTTCTTGTTTGATGCTTCATTTATGTGTGCTCACGAAGTCGCGCTCCGGTGTATTATGTGTTACCTATTAAGTAATATAAATTATTTGTACTGACATTATGACGTAGAAGAGTTATTTGTTTATTTTTTTTTTGTTTAATTCTCTAATCTCTGGAACCATACCAGTCAGACCTAATGAGTGGAGCAATACTATGGACGATGCTAAAAATACTGATTTCTTAAAGTTTTCTTGTTTTTTTAGGTCAGCAGTGAATACGACACGAAATGAAAACCTTTCTTCATAAAACCAATTTCCCAAAAAAAAATGTACAAATATATATAATCTATATAGGCTAGGTCTTAGTAGTAAACAGAGATGTAAATATTTATAAATAAACCACTTAATGTAATGTAACTACTTATAGCGATATCCTGGGAAAAATAAAATAAAGGTTACCTACTTAGAAAGAGAGGGTCTGCCCACAGAGAGCGAGATAGTAATACATAAGTTGAGCTTCAAGTAGGTATTCGGAGTGTGGTCTCCATCTTTATCTATAACTTCATGGCTGGGACCTGGGAGTTTTGGCGGGAACTTGACCGGTGCCGCTTTGCTGCTCCTGTATTATAGTTTAAATAATAGTTTGAAGTGGATTCTGATATGTAAAAGTGTTGCAATTTTATGTATTAACTGTCTATGTCTGTCACAAAAAGCAAGTAGATGAGAAAGTTGTGTCTGTTCCAGTAAATGCACGTCGCTTGGAGAAATTTAGAAGTAACGTAGTGAAAAAACTTCCATCACTTTCATACCAAAATGATCCTAATTTTTTGTATGGAACATTATTTAAGCTTATTTGCAATGAATTTAATAATACTTTTACTTCTAAAACATTCTCCTTGAACAGTCGGAAGTCATTCAATGAATGGGCGACAGTAGGAGTCCATAAGAGCAGGCATAGGTTATATGATCTTTACCATGAAAGGTCATATAATCATAGCGTCGAATTTAGGGAATATGTAAAAAAATATTCAAAAATATTTAAGAGTGTGCTCCATAGCCAAGTCTTTGCATTTGAGCAACAAAATTAAGACGGCTTCCAATAAAATTAAAATGACATGGAGTATAATTAATAGCGAAACTGGTAAGATCAACTCTCGCAATTCAAATTACCAGTTAAGTGTTAACAACAAATTAACTGTATCAGATCAGGACGTAGCAATGGTTTTTGAGAAATATTTTACTGATATTCCGATCTTGACCACTAAGTCACTGAATTCTTCTCCTGCCGTCGCCGAATCATTACTTAAACAAAATGTAAATGTGTGTACAAAGAATTTTACATTTCATAAAGTGTCATCAAAAGATATTGTAAAATATTTTAAAACTATTGATGTTAAGAAAACTGCGGATCTATGGGGGATTTCCGTTAAAGTTATTGCGTCTATAATAGATACAATCGCGCCTCATTTAGCTATTATTTTTAATACTAGTATCGAATCTGGTGTGTTTCCTGATTTAATGAAGCATAGTAAAGTAATACCTTTATTTAAATCTGGTAGTACATTAGACCCCGCCAATTTTAGACCTATTTCTGTACTACCAACACTTAGTAAGATTTTTGAAAAAATTGTTCTTGTTCAAATGTTAAATTTTTTTAATATAAATAATTTACTTCATAAAAATCAATTTGGTTTCACAAGGGGTCGCTCGACAACTGATGCCGGTGTTGAGCTGATTAAATATATCTTTAATGCATGGGAGAATTCACAGGATGCTTTGGGTATATTTTGTGACCTATCCAAGGCCTTCGATTGTGTTCACCATGAAACATTAATCAGGAAACTTCAACACTACGGTGTAAGAAGTGATGCCCTTAAATTAATTATTTCATATTTAAGTAAGAGAACGCAAAAAGTTGTCATTAACAATATGAGCTCTTCCGGATCGATGGTACAAATGGGCGTGCCTCAAGGCTCAATTCTCGGCCCCTTTCTGTTTCTTGTATACATTAATGACTTACCTTACATAGTAGGGGATAACCATGATATAGTATTATTTGCAGATGACACTTCTTTAATTTTCAAATTAAGTCGACAGTTACTAAAATATGACGAAGTAAATAATGCTATCTCTAAATTAGTAAATTGGTTCGATGTTAATAATTTGCATTTAAATGGCACTAAAACAAAATGTATGAAATTCGTGACTCCAAATGTCAAACAATTAAATACTAATGTAATTTTAAATGGGGAGAAACTGAGTCTTGTAGATACCACCATTTTTCTTGGAATCACACTAGACGCGAAGCTTCAATGGAGCCCCCATATATCAAAACTAGCAAGCAGACTTAGTTCTGCAGCATATGCTGTAAAAAAGATTAGAAGTTTAACCAGTGTTGAAACAGCTAGACTAGTTTACTTCAGCTACTTCCATAGCATAATGTCGTATGGTATTTTGCTATGGGGACACGCAGCTGACACTGAAATTATATTTGTTTTGCAGAAGAGGGCCATAAGAGCAATTTATGATTTAAAGCCTAAAGAGTCGCTGCGACAAAAATTTAAGGAAATTAATATATTAACTTTGGCCTCTCAATACATTTATGAAAATGTAATGTACGTACACAAAAATAAAAGTAGTTTTACAAAAATAAGTGATATTCATTCTATAAATACTAGGAACAGACACAAGCTAGTAGTACCAGTTACTCGACTCCATCGAGTCAGTAATTCATTCTTGGGGCGATGTATACGCTTTTACAACAAAATTCCAGAAAATATACAAAGTTTGACCTGTTCAAAGTTCAAAAACTTTATTAAACTAAGTTTGTATAAAAAGGGTTATTATAATATTAAGGAATTTATGGATGATAATAACCCCTGGAAATGAGGTGATCGCTACCAAGCTATTTCTAATTCGTTGTGTTGTTAATTTGTGTAACATCATGATTGTAAGCTGTTATTTAAAAAAAAAGTCCCGCTGGGTTTCTTGCTGGTTCTTCCCAGGACAGAGGTTTTTTCCGAACCAGTGGTAATCAAACAAAAGAGTGACTTTCAATAAGTATTATTTATAATCTATGTTGAATAAAAAAGTTTCTGTTTCTGTTTCTGTTTCTGTCTCTACGCATGTGAACTATTAGTGGAAACGGTGAAACAAGTGCTCTGATGGTGATGGATTCTCAAGATAAGCTGTTTGTCTGCATAGGCGCCTTTAGGTACCATCGCCAACTGTCAGCTATCTGCTGGCTCAAGTTGTCGTCAAAATTTCTCAAGGGGTGCACAATGTGAAGCAGTGAACTATGAAGGATAATATAAAAAAGACAAGGCTGTATGTATTTTTGACGTGGTAGAGCCATGCTGCAGTTATATTAGTAGTATAGTTGTAGCACGAATGGGTCGGCTCGACCGGGGAAGGACCACGCTCTCACAGAATACCAGCGTAAAATAGCAGCCTAACGCTGCTGTGTTTCGTATGGTGAGTGTAGAGAACCGGAGACCCTTTTCACTGGAAATGAGGCATTCCATCTTAAACCTCACGGGTGACAACGCATCTGCATTTTGATTTGTAATAGAGGATAGATGTAGATGTCTATGGGCCACAGCAAACACTTACCATCAGGTGGACTGTGAGCTCGTTTGTCACCCTGATCCTATAAAAAAAATGTATGGCTTAGTTCCTTTGCCGGCTCTCTTGAGCGAATAATAAAAACAACAACATATTTGGCTGATGCCCGATGGTAATGTAAATCTCAAAATAATGTGTCTGTCTGCGTAGGCGCCTTGAGATAGTACCGCCAACTGTTTGCTGGCTCTAATTGCTGTCAAAATTTCTCAAAACCTACACAATGTGGCGCTCTAACATATTGTGAAGCACTATAAAGGAATATTATCACTTGATATGGAGATAAATGAAGTTTTGGCTTAAAAGACAAGCATCGAAGCCAAATATCTGATATGTCATAAACGCATGTGATTGTGTTTTCAACTTCGATCTTAGGTTATTCCGCTTTCAAACTTTTAAGAATGTCGTTTCGTGGAAGAGGAGGTGGTGGTGGTGGTCGCGGTGGTTTCGGAGGCCGCGGTGGAGGACGTGGAGGCTTCGGCGGTGGCAGAGGCCGAGGCGGCGGTGGTGGAGGTGGCTACAGACAGCAAGACTTCGGCCCTCCCGAATCTGTTATCCCGCTCGGTCATTATGGCTGGACAGTTCAAGATGACTTAGTGTGTAAAGTAGATATTGAAGACGTACCTTACTTTAACGCACCAATTTACCTAGAAAATAAAGAACAAATTGGCAAAATAGATGAAATCTTTGGAAATTTGCGAGATTACTACGTGTCAGTAAAGCTAGGAGAAAATATAAAAGCGAAGAGTTTTAAAGAAGGACAGCAATTTTTTATTGACCCGGCGAAGTTATTACCTTTGAAAAGGTTTCTTCCTCAGCCTCCAGGTGCTAAGAGAGGCGTAGGCCGCGGCGGGCCACGAGGAGGTCGTGGTGGAGGATTCAACAGGGGAGGTGGAGGTCGCGGCGGTGGCTTCAACAGAGGTGGAGGAGGTCGGGGAGGTGGTGGTTTCAACAGAGGTGGTGGTGGTGGTGGATTTGGCCGTGGAGGTGGAGGTGGAGGTTTTGGACGTGGAGGAGGTGGTGGTGGTAGAGGAGGTAACTTCAGAGGTGGTCGAGGAAGATATTAAAGTGGTATAGACAACAAATGTTGATGTTCTAAGAGTGCTAATGGAACTTGAATTTAGTTAGTACATATTTTTGCATTTAGTTATAACATTTTTGCTAAATTACAATATAAAAAAAATTAGACTATAATACAATATGGATGGTTATTACATAGTTTAAATTGTGTTTTTGCATTGATCTTTAGTCTGTATTGTGAACTGATATTAATATATGTATTTAGCATATGAAAATGAGACCATAAAGAATTGTGGAATTCCCTTATTAGACTATATTCAATTTCATCATTATAGTTTGTTATGACATTACTTTTAAAACTATAAGTCATAAATATTTTGTATGTGTTTACCAACTCATTGGTATTTTATTGAATTGGTTTGAAAACACCAATAGTGAGTGATTGTATGAATTGTACAATTCAGTAGATATTATTTAATGGAAATAAAAACAAGTAATTCCTTTCATGGATTTATATATAGGTGACTAATATATATTACGTTACAGATTAAAACCGAAACCAGTTTATCCAGCTAAACCTAGGTACAGCTGCTTCGGGTTTGTTAAACTTTAGGAACTACTAAATCCTCTGTTATTTATAAATAAATGTTCACGTCATTACCTATTGTCGCTGATATTTCTTGATATGGGGTTTTTTGCTTTTGTCAACTTTAACAGTATACCAAAGTTTAACCAACTGATTGCGGTTGGTTAAACTTTGGTATACTGTTAAAGTTGTGGAATTGATTGCAATTCCACATACACTTCAGCTTTTAGCTTTTTTAAATTCTTATTTTTATAATCTGGAATTTTAAAAAAGCAATAACTGTTCTTGTAACTGTCTTACAGACAATTAATAATATTGTATAACTTTTATACTTGTAGTGAATTCTTATCTAGTGCATAAGAATGAGGAGAGTAATTACCTAGTTATATTTTCAAGAATCAATAATTGTAGTAATAAAAAAGTATTTTGTATTAAAATGTTATTTTTTTATTTAATTCATTGATGTGTTTTTAAGTAATTTTATTAATAGCTGCTAAGTTATTTTGCCATGTTAACTCATAGACTTAGTACCACAGACTACTAAGGGCATCTTTAATTACTAACTGAAGGGAAACTTCTCTTGTTGGTGTCATTATGATTTAGTAAATAAAAATGCTTGTGCTGAAAAAGTTGAGCAATAAAAAGAAGTGTGGAGAAGACAATTAACTTGTCTGTAGCTGTAGCTTGAATGGGTTGGCTCGACGGGTAGGAACACACTCACAGAATACCATCGTAAAACAGTAAGATAATGTTGTTTTGTATGGTGAGTGTAGAGAACTGGAGACTAACTTACTTAACCAGTATCTTTTAATTCTTTTTTTATTATCTATATCTAAAAAGGCTTTTATCCTACAAGGATATGTCAGCCTTATTGTAACATGACTTGTTCCTGTTACACAAATGCTATTTATGGCGGCTCTTCACGTTGGCCAACATAGTGGCGAATGTGTTGGCAGAGATATTGGCCAAGAATTTGTGATCGCGTCCACACGTTGGAAGGTCGTTCAGTTTGCTTCGGTTCAGGCCAATGTGTGGACGAAAATATTAAAATGTTTATTGAAGCGCTAACGGCTGTTGCGGTTTATTTATTAACAGCATCCACTATTTTTTATTTAATTTTCACTATTTTTAATATTTCTTTATTATACACTAACATTATACAGATAAGTAAACTATATAAACATTAACACACCTAGGCATAGGTATAATTAACTAAGGCCTGGAAAATATTCGAAGCCTGTCTATGAAACTGTTGTAAATTTTTTATTTAACGAAACCTTTTTATAAAAATGGTTCTTGTATAATTATAGAATATATTTATTTATTTACACTCTTGAACTTAATAATAATAAATAATTTATTTCGTCAAATGTTAAAGTTACATTATATGATCAGTGATCGAGGTCACCTAGTAAGCAAAATAATGCCTGTAACAGGTGACTTCGCTCTTCCATAGCTAAAAATTACAGTATTATTAAGGAAATAAAGTACCTAACTAATAGGGAATAATAAAGACAGTCAAAACATGATTTTAGTATCCTAACTTTTAATTTGATTTTAATATCTTACCTAGTCTCCTAGCATTAATACATCAATAAATAAATTAATACATCAATCACTACAACGTGAATGTGTATAAGAAAAGGGTGATCAAAAAGAAATGGAAGAAAAGAAATTTTATTTCTTGGCGGCGTAGTGGCGTAGTGGCTTAGCAATGAGTTGCTGCGCTGGAAGCCGCGGGTTCGAATCCCGCACGGAACAAATATTTGTATAGCCTGCACATAATTGCTCCGGGTCTGGATATTTGTCCTTATGCAATTTATGTTTCTAAACTGCCTCCACGATACAGGAGAAAATCCTAGCGTGGGGGCAACTTTTTCTTTTTAAAAAGACGTGTTTCACAAACAATTTTCGGCTTGGTACGGCTCTATAAAGCGAAAAGTGTTTTCATTGGTCATTGTTACTGCAGTTATGTAGACACTAGTTAAGATGCGTGCATATAAAATTTAAATCAGGTGCGTGCAATCACTCTGGGAGCTCGTAGCAAACTGAACGTGCGCCCAACTTGTGGACGCGGCGGCCAATACTCTGCCACAACCCTTTGATCTTTTGTAAAAAACTGACACCAGACGGATCTCGCGCCAACTTGTGGGCCATCATTCCAATACGTACCAACGTAGCTTAAACACCTGCTCTACACGATGACCATCGTTGTTGGCCAACACATTCGCCAGTATGTTGGCCAACGTGAAGAGCCGTTTTTAGAAAGGGGGAATCAATGTGGTAAGAATATGGAAATAATTATTACAAGTATACTCAAAAACCAACTTGTCTCACACAAATTGATATTAAATTTTTGCACTAGATTCTCCCTTTCCCTTTGATATTTAATCAAAGTTAATAATTTTTATTTATATTTTTATATTTACATTAAATGCAAAAAATTTCACATGGAATGCCCACATACTATTTTTATATGCATAATGCATACTATTTATCACATTATATTTTAATGAATATCTATTAAGAAATCCATACAGGAAAATATAATAAAAAGTTAAACATAGTGTACATTTTCTAATGCATAAATAGTACTTAGCAATTTTATAATTATAATAAATAAGAATAGACCATACTTACATATAATATAATGTATAAAAACAAATACTAAAATAATACAATTAAATCTATTTAATTAGCATTATGATAACTGGGATTGCTTACACAGTTCTTAAATATTAAAAGAATGACTTATGTATTTTAAAAGAAATATAATGTGTAGTGGTGGTGTAAGAATATCCTCTACCCCAAATCATTTCTTCGTTGTAAGAGGTGACAGATGGAAACAGAAACAAAAGATGGGCAGCAACATCTTCCTGATAACAACTTATAAAAAACTGCAGTTGCCAACCTGCCTCCTGAGTGTGCCATTTAGTATTCAACAAAGGGGTTTATTTTTATATTATGGTTATACATATAACATAAGTAATTTGATCAATAAATTATCACATGCTATATAACCACACTTTCACGCTCTAGCAATAATACTGAGCATACACTCATGCATTACCATTGCTTAAGCCTACTGGCTATATTTTCACTTAATGTACCAACACATGGCAGAGCACAGAGGATGAGCAAAAATCTTCATACACATTTACTTATTGTCACTATATGCTGAGCCTTTTTACCTCTTATATGGATCTTGATCAAGTCACATCATTTTCAACCATATTTAAAAGAACTTTTATAAAGGTTAGAGTTAGTAAACAGAAGTCATAAATAGCTATCAATTTAATTACAATACTACATTTGTTTATCCACTAGTATCTTTGATGTAAAAAGGTGAACATTTATCAAATTTCAACTACATAACATATCTATCATTTTATCCTATTCTATATTATCTAAATCACTTTTACTGGCACTGGGTATATAATTATATGCTAGAGCTTTTCCTCTGTGGTTGAACATATAAAATGAAGGTATATTCTTCTGTGTTTCCCATCGTACATTATTAAGTTCTGCTGCAGCTGGAATCTCGCGGAGGTTACCAGCGACATTTAGTACACCCCACATTACAGCAAATAAGCTGACCACTGCCTGAACTACTATCTGTAATGTATTCAATTGTGGGAAATTAATATGAGCTCAAATTTATAACTACTTTATATCAATCAGATCAAACTATTTATAAACTTACATCTAAGGGTAAAGTTGTAAATTCCTGAGAAGTAATCCTCAAGTAAGAACGGTCTATAACAAAAATGACAGATTAATAAACAAAAGTAGATTTATTTATTTTGCTGAATATTAATCAAAATGACATATCATAACTTACGTTGCGCAGCTGAAAAAGCAGAATGAAATAATGATACAAAACCTATAATAACAATAAGCTTATGAATTGTAGATGCCATTTTATATATGTCCTGATTTTCACCGAACGGTCTTTTTTTTAATATGGAGAGTACATAAGGAGATCGATCAAATTTACAAAATTTACAAAAATGAGAGGAGGAATGCTGTCAAACGGCGTTTTTTTAATTAAGATTTTGACTTGGATGCTTGTCCTTAAGGCCATGTCTTCATTTCATTCGGGATCTTCGTTTTTATAAATTTTCTATTGTGGTTTTAATGTACTTGTCAATAGGCAGAAAATATTTCATAAACTCAAAATGAAAATTGTCATGTCTGTGTGGCTGAATTCAGCCACACCACAGACTAGGGTTATTTTTGGCCATAAGTTTATAAAAACCGTAATTTCTCCAGTTCTATTTTAAATCAAGGTTTCGTTTTCTTTATCCATTACTCAGAATTAGTTTGTGTTCCTATTTCTTTAAATTATATCAACTGCAATATTATAATAAATCTGTTATACTACATCTAAGTTTGGGCACATAAATTCATATTTATTTCTACGTAAAAATAAAGTATAAACAAATGTTTGATCATAATAAGCATTTAATTACATGAAGAGTACATATTTTCACAGATCTATCACAAAAACCCAAGGCTCTACATACATTTTTGTTTCAACAAACAATGTTTAAAAACTTTAAATCTTGACATCCACATTTTAACGTATATTTATGTAAATAAGTACTTCGAGTATTAAAGCAGATTTGTATAGTAACTTGAGCTCAGGTAAGCAAAATCACAAGTGGTCCATGAGTACGCTCACTGGAACTAGAATAAAAGTTACACAAAAAAGGGTCTTTTTTTTTACTTAGAAATTAGTGGTTACGATAAATTAATTTCAATTTGGACAAACTGTTCTATTTTCAAGATATATATTTAACTAGGTTTAATCTGAATTAAAAACCTTGCAGGGTTTCTAAGAACTTTTATAAAATCAATGCTAACAAAAACAATACAAAAACAGTACAAAAACATCCAAAATGTGTCAAGACTAATATGGATAAGACTAAGATTGATTAGTTTCAAACAAAGAATTTCTGATATTATCAATAGATGAACATGCTGCATATTATTTTTGATTTCAAGAAAAATAGTGGTAGGTGGTCTTGCCTCATACGCCGGAGGTGACATGACTTGACATGCCGCTTACAACAAGCGCGCTGCGTTCGTCTCGTGCTGAGCACCCGCCTCTTATTGCTATACCACCTCGTGTGTGCGAGCCGCGTCCACACCAAACGCCACGCCTGCGGTGTCACCAAGTGTGCGTACGCCACAACGTGTGCGAACACCACCGCGTGTGCGTGCACTACTGCGTGAACTAGTGCCACCGCATGTATGGATCATGCCACTGACACTACCCTGACTGTATCAACGACAATACCAACATGCAAAAGAAAAACAAAATAAGCCAAGCAAACACAAGAACATTTTTTTAATAAAAAGCTCTTAATCTAGGTGGAATTCTGATCGCGGTGAGTGACTCATGCAATTTATAACGGAAAGGCCAGCATAGAAACCCATACAGAGTGATGCCGCGAATCCCAGCAGTCGCTGCCGAACAGTAGCTGCCAAGATCAGAATGCCTTTGGGTTAGAAACAAAGATTAAATGTTTGAAATTTATTTCGGAAAATATAAGACGCAAAAATACATTACTTTCCAAATCCTAATGCCCCGTGAATGTTCCAGTTCCTTTAAAAAAGTAGACCAAAGTACCCCAGAAGTTAATAATTTTAAATACATGTCTTTAAAATGCAAATACAAATTTTCTATTTTTATTTTTCATTTAAAATTAGTCTTTGTGATATTCGAAATTTTCTAACTGGTTCTGTTTTCCTAAATTTCAAACAAAACAATTAATGACTGATTTCTAAGAAAAATAGTAGTGTTAAAATCAAGTAAGAAATTTTATTTAAAAAAGCTTTTTTAAAAGTACGTATTTTGAATTTTTTATTTAAATACTTTTTTTAATTCAAAACTATTATGTATTTTTACTTCAAATTAAAATATTAACCAAGAATTTGCATTATGAATTTTTAAATACTTCTAGAAACTATTTTTCCCATCTCTGCTAAAGGCATATCCATATTCTCCACCGTTACTACAAACGTCAAACCTAGTCTGTGGATATGGCAGATTTCAGCCACGAAACGACCGGTTCATACTTTTATAGCGATTTCTCATTTTTTTCCACCAAAATAACTATGTACTTTTGTATTTAGCTCAAATATTAGTTTCACAACATATTGAACACAATATAGTGACACTGGAAGCAATTTAGTCACTAAATAAGTAAAAACTTGCAACATTACGGCGGTCATTCCTAGGGCAGAGTCAAATTCAATTACAAAATCTTCATTGAAAATTGCCAACAAGCCTCGAAAAGTAGATAAATAATTAAAGATAACTTACCGCTCCATTGTATTTTCCATGATATAACTTGTAATTCACAATTTATTTTTTAATTCTTTATTAATGAGCTTAATCACACTGTGAATATGTCGCTCCGTTAGTTCAACACCAAAAACAAATACCTTAGGAATACTTAAACTTAATTACATTATACATTTCTTAAATCCTTAATTAATTACAATAAGTAGAAGAAGTTATGCATTTAGTTACAATTAAAATTCCCAGATCAATCACAGTGTGGAAAGAATTCACGATTTTATAAGCAAAATGATCACAGCAATGTTCGATCTCAAAGCGCCAAATCAGTAGAACCATAGATTCAATGATAAGATTCTTATTTTTTTCTTCTTTAGACATTGCTAGTATTAACGTATATGGCGGCACCTGCACCGTTGTAGGTGCGGTGGCGTCGATCTAGCTAGACAGAATTCTTGTAAACGACACGTGTACCGCACACCTGCGGCATTGCAGCTGCGTTGCCACCCGTCCTGCTTGTATAAAACGGACGGAGCGGCCGCCGTTAGGACAGTCTTGGCTCTGACGTGGAACGGTGCGCTTGTCGTATTCCATTACTAGTTTATCCTCGACTCGTTGGATAATTAATTCGTGTAAACGAATTAATTATTATTCCTAACTACAAAATCAGTCTCTGTACTATACCCACTATACTTCCTACATCAGAAGTGGGATAAAGTCCCCATTTTTGCCCACATACAATCTTCGAATAGTATGAGGATTATTACATTTGTGAAAGACTATAATGCATTCTGCATTGATGATTCTATTTTTATGTTAAATACCGTAATGAAATTTGCTGTCCTACTTACGATATTGTCGTATCATTAAAGTGTAGAGAAAAGATAAAGTGAAATTATTTAAGTCAAAAGTTAAATCTTTATATTCAATTTATAATAGAAAGTACCCGCAAGTAATTTCATTATTTCTTAACATACCTAAATATGATAACAAATGTCGAAAGAAATGTTGGAGATATTTTGAATGAGTTATAGTTTGCATTCAGTGGAAGTTTAACTTGCTCAAGTAATGTTATAATTTGATACACGAGGTGTGATTTACATGGCCTAGTTTTAAAGTTCAAAATGTTTAAACGATGTACCGAAAAAAAAGAACATGATTACTTTAACGTGCTATGACTTAAAAACACTAAGTAGTATTTTTGTGATCTAATGTGATGATAAGTGTTACAGTTTACTCCGAGCATTACGTAGTCGACAAACTTGGAATGGTTTAGTGGAAAGCGTGGAGCTGTAGCGCTCGCTTTTGAGTATGCTGTAGGCTTATGACGCCGCGGACTTATTATTTGTCGCTGCTACTGATCACCATTAGATACATGAGGAAAGTAAATTTATCCTAAACATTGGCTCAGAAACTATTTTGTAAGAATGAGTGTTTACATTTTTAATTGGTTGCGAAAAATGCCGGAAATCCGAAGTATAACTGATGAAAGTGAAGTAGAGCCAATTAGTTCTGACATTGAAGAGAGTATTTAAGTTTACATGAGGACCGGACCATACCAGAGGTTGTCGTGTAGCCGCAGCTCAGTATTTGGTGCCTTAGAAAGGCGAATGGTGTACCAAGAGTAGTGCTGCATTTCTTGAAATCAAGTTCCGACTGAGTATTTTTAATGTTTTTTTTTTATGTGTTGCAGTAGCACGTGTGATGTGATTACAAGTGCGTGAGTGTGTGCCTTGCTGGTCGTAACGGACTGCCAGGTCCAGCTGTAACATGGCCTGGTTTCGGCAGATGCGTATGCGCGTATACGCATGCGCCATCCCGGAGCGCGCGTATGCTGTACATGGCGATGCCTCGGAAGTCGTGTACTCTGTATGCGTGGGAGTCACACTGTGTGCGCGGAAGTCGTATGCTGTGTGCACGGTAATGTTTTCTGAACATGTATTAGGCTCTGTCCTGGCATACGCTGTCCTGGTTCACGTTTTTAATGTGGTTCACGTAGTTAACGTGGGAACTCGCAAGTTCAAGTAAGAGTATGTGTCGGATACTTCGTATGAAGACCTATGTTTACTTGTGAAAGCGAAGTGCTTTATTATATTCCAAGGTATGAGAACGTATTTCTGTTTTAGGGCCTCGTATGTGTGATAGATGAGAGAACAGGCAACTGTGTATGTTGTCCTTATAGTTAACAATTTGTTTTTCACGCAGATCATGATTACTACAACCCCGACAATGCTTGTAAACCCTCAGGTGCTCCTGCTGCTCTCGTTTTGTTGTAATTTGATAGTTCACGCGAAACATGATTATCATTTCCTATATTTTGAAGTTCAAATCTTTTAAGGGTTGTACTACAATAAAGGATTAACTTTAACACGCTATGAATTAAAAATAATAAGTGACATTTTTGTGTTCTAATGTGTTGACCAGTGTTGCAGTTTGCTCCGAATATTGTGTCGTTGACAAGATTGGGGTTTGATTTCGAGGGATTCGTAGAAGTCTCTACAACAATGATCAATGAGGAAGACGTTGTGATGGCTAATCGAACATGGTCAGGTACGGCCGAGCGCTGGTTAGATTAAGCCTACACCGCTACAATCGGTTACTTATCGGCTGATC